TCATTCGATGGATCAACTTTTCCAGAGAAAGTTCATAATGAGAAGAACTCATCTGAAGAAGGAAGAAGAAGTTCATAATGAGAAGAATTCGTTCGACCTTTTGTTTGAATTCATCATTCGATGGATCAGCTTTTCCAGAGAAAGTTCATAATGAGAAGAACTCATCTGAAGAAGGAAGAAGAAGTTCATAATGAGAAGAATTTGTTCGACCTTTTGTTTGAATTCATCATTTGATGGATCAACATTGCCAGGTAGAGTTTATAATGAGAAGAACTCGTCAGCTGAAGAAGAAGAAATTCATAATGAGAAGAATTTGTTCAACTTTTTGTTTGAATTCATCATTCGATGGATCAACTTTTCCAGAAAGTTCATAATGATAAGAATTTATTTGAAGAGGAAGAAGAAGTTCATAATGAGAAAATTTTGTTCAACTTTTTTCATGACTCTATCATAGAATGAGATAGACCAGCATCAACTTTTCCAGAAAGTTCATAATGAGAAGAACTTATCTAAAGAGGAAGAAGAAGTTCATAATGAGAAGAACTTGTTCAACCCTTTTCCAAATTACATCACAGAAGGAGATATTATCATCCCCAACGGAAAGTTCATAATGAGAAGAACTCATATGAAGAAAGAGAAGAATTTATTCAACATCTTCATATTAATCAAGTGAATTCAAATGGATAAAAAAATATTATTATCTTTTCGTCTTTGCTCTATTCTTGTTAACACGGGAATGAGCAAAGAGGGGCAGCTGAAGATACTATTTTTTTCTCCATTTTCTATTATTATTTTTATTATTATTTTATATTATTATTATTATTATTATTATTATTATTTTATTTATTATTATTATTACAAACAGGCCAAGTCCGGCCCAACCCAGACGAGCCCAGTTACAAGAGACCAAGCCCAAACCCATCAGGAAACCCTAAAACCAATTTAAGGTTTCCATATCATCATCCAACCGCCTCAACATCACAGCCGTTGGATCTGAGAGATCTAATGGCCCACACTCATCCAGAACAAACCCTAGGGTAATGATACCCTAGGGATCACGCGGCCGCCGTTTGCCAGCCTCTACTACCACGCTGCCACAATGCCAACCGAAGGATCCATAAGGCCAAGCCACAGCCACACACGTTGCCCTCAACGGTGAGTCACCACTGGAAGTTCGGTGACTCACCGAACTCTACTCTTTTACCCGGTCCGAGACAAGCGCCGGTGATGGCTATAAAGCCACCACCGAACCTGCAAAGAAAAACAGAGGCAACCAACAACCACGACAACCAACAGAGAGTAACAAAAAAAGGGACCGAAAACAACAAAAGACAGAGAGCAAAAACAACACAAAACCGAGAACCAACACCAACAACAAACCAACAACGAAAAATAAATCGAGAGAGGAGAGAAACTTACCACGACCATCGGAGCCCTCCAAAACGTCGTCGAACCGTTAAAATACCGAAGGTATTATCTTTAGATCTAGGAAATACTATGGGGTTTTAGGAGAAAAGGATACCAGATTTGGCTTTAGGGTTAAAAGAGCTTTGATTTGACATGGTTTTGTAAATTCCGGCCACCGTTCACGGTGGCCAGCGGCGGTGGTCGGCACCGGAGCACGGTTGCCGGCCGGAACTTTAATCCCTCCGATGAGGGAAAATAGAGAGAGGTGAGAGAGGTGAGAGAGAGTTATAAAACTCTCTCTGTTAGAGAGAAAAAAAAAAGAAAAAATGGGAGAGCTGGCCCGAAGGGCCAGCCGTTTGGGACTTAAATAGCCCTCCTCGAACGACGCCGTTTTGGGGATGGGTCTGTCTGTAATTAATTAAAAGTTAAACCCTTTCCGCAACCATCCTAATTTGTAATCCTTACATTTTAGTCACTAAATCAATTTATAATCCTTTTAATTCAGTTCTTTAATTTTAATTTTATTTATTTTAGTCCTTTATATTAAATAATATATTTAGGATAAATAACATATTTAGTCCTTTAATTTTAATAATTAATATTTTAAACCCCGAACATCATATTTCAATTTATTTTAATTTGATATATGAATTTTATATAATTTTAGTTTAGTCACTAAATTAATAAATAAGAAGAATAGCATGTTTAGTCACTCAAATTTTAAATAATTAATTAGAATTAGGTATTTATTCTATTAAGTTACAATTTAGTCACTAATTTCAATTTTTATTTATATAGTTTTAATTTGTTCATTATATGTTAATTTTATATGTTTACTTTTAATTATTATTACTATTATTATTATTTAGCCATAAATATATATATTTTAAATATTTTATTTATTAAATCTTATTACTTTTAACTTATTTTAATCTTGTTTTAATATTTATTTATTTTTCAATATTAAGAAAGGACAGTCTTAAAACAACTGGATGTCCATTTTCTGATATTTTTAAATAAATTTTATAAATTATATATTAATTGTTTTAATTATTTATTTTTTAATATCGAAGAAAAGAGCTGTCTTAAGGTATCTAGAAGTCATTTTCTGATATTTCTAAATAAATAAATATTTTATTAATATATATTTTTCATAATTATAATTTTAAAATAATAGGATTATAAATTAAATATATTTTGAATTTTTAATTTCTAATAATAGAGACAATTTATAATTAAAAAGTACCAATTTTGGGCGTTGTAGGGGTGCTAATCCTTTCCTAAACGTAACCGAATCCCTTTTTATTTCTAAAAAGAATGAATTTTTGGTTAAAACGCAGATCAATTTATCTTTTAACTGATGTTTTCTTAAAAACTCTTTTAAAAGATAATTTTTTAGGTATTCGACCTACCTAACCCAAAAGGCCGATGGCGACTCTCAAATTATTTTAAACTATTTATTCACATCACATTTTCCCTTCAAATAAATATTTCGTGCCCGGACGAAAACCGGTTACAACAAGTTCAAAGAACATTGGAAACGTGGCTCGATTCATGAATCATAGTTGCTCTCCAAATGTTTTCTGGCAGGTAGCCACGCATGAACAAAACCATGAAGCTTTTCTCAATATCGCTTTCTTCACGAAGAAACACATTCCTCGGTTGACAGAGCTGACATATGATTATGATACTCAACCCTGCACGGATGAGACGGGAAGTAAGAATGCCGATCATGGAAAAAAGAAGTGCCTATGCGGATCCTCAAATTGCCGAGGTTATTTTTATTGAGACCTAGACTGCAACCTGTATTCTGTACACTAGAAAAAACTTTTGGCTTTTTTGAACAAGGTCTGGCCTCTGGCTCATTTTTGCTAATCATGTAATTTTATATGCATTTCATGTTTAGGCTTTGTAGCATTTTCTTATGTCGTTACAAACAGAGCTGACGACGAATGCGAACACGGGATGATGATGTTCTTTTGGTAGGAAATTCACTGTATTTTTCCTGTTTGAAAGCAGACGAGCACCGGGGACGGAATTGCTCCTTGTAAGGATTTTCCCTCTCTTTTTGGAGTGTATTGAGCAGACCCAAAGACACTCTTGGCTTTTGGTTTTCAATTTTTTATTCGTTAAGAGGGACGGGAAAGTAATTAAAACAAGGGAGGCCTAATTATGAATTACATCCTCCTATTTTATAAAAACTAAAAAAAAAGCAAGTCAAGTAGCAACGTAAAACGAAATACATGAGATTTCCGTACGAGTTGAGCAATAAATAATTAAACTGGGGAAATTCTAACAATGGGGTTTGCTCTCTTTTTTGTTTTATTTCTTGTATGTGTTGTTTAAAGCTCATTTTGGAAGAAAAATTGTATTACGGGTTTTATTAATCGAAATAAATGAAATTTATATTTTGATGATGAATGTTGTTTCCACATTTTTTTTATTTACCGAATTTGAAAATTAAATAAGTTGTAGATAGATAAGGACTTTTTCCTTTATAAAAAAATGACAAGTTTTGGGGATGTTTTTAATAGTAAAAATGAAAAATAAAAAATCATATTCATTAAAACAGAAAATTTTAAAAAAAATTACCGATTTGAAACTCTTAAACAATTGGAAGTATTGTCATATTGATTAAGTTAACAAGAAAAGATACTAAGATATCCAACCTGAAACACAACTACAAGAAACCAAGTTAACAAGCGTACTAAATCCATCACATGTCACTAGCAAACACCATTCTTACGTTGTTAGCTCCATTATAGCCGAAACAATATCCCCATCGGCAGCCTTGAGTGCCTTCACAGCCTTCGGTCCGGAAACTCCCGCTTGTGTCATCACCAAGTCAATGTCCTTTGGCTCAACATCCGTCTCATCTACTTCTTCATCGTCCTGAGCGAGGGTTGACGACGACTCAGGTTTCGAGACTACGTGGCTAAGGTCAGGTTTCCAAAGATAACATAGGTGTCTGACGCGGGGCTCTTGAAAGCATCCGGCTTTGAAATGATAAATAAGATTTGAATACAACGGTAAAATCAGTTATCATCTAGTAACAGACAAGGCAAGGAAGTAATGAATGGTTTAACAATATGGAAAGGGGACCTACATTTTTGCTCTTCTTGACGGTGACTCGGCGAACACCTGGAATTGGTTTCATCCCGAGATTCAACATAGCTTTGCGACTCTTCTTTTCACTTCTGCTTTGCTTTGACCTACCAGTTCCTTCTCCATCAGGATGTCCTGACAGAACATGGTAAATATTATGTGTAGCAACTACAAATGAAATTGCCACACTGCATGCAAAGAATGAATTAAATACTTTATGCATTGACAATTTAATATTGTCATCAATGAACATGAGAAGATATCTAAATTCACCAAAATAACGATTCATATCAGTGGCACTAATATAATATGATCCAAATGCAGGAACGTAATTGACCAGATCCAAGTTAAAAGAGTACAAGCTTGATCTGAAACTCGGGCAAAATTCAAGATTTGATAAACTGAAACCAAATATTAAAATACCAAAATTGAGCTAAATCCACTACTCGGAGATCAACTAGACTAGGAAGTGAAGTTGGTGCACAATCCCAAAATCAAGCTCCAGTTAAACCTGCAAAGAGGGACAATCTCATCCTCGATATCACGAGTCCAAAGCGACCACTCCATTTGAACTGCTGTGATGGGCTGAACTGCATGTGCCCTCCGTATCATATCAGGACTAGATTCGGGTAATCCAATGTATTTGATCTTTCCTTCAACAATTTTCTTAAGTTCACCCATCTGCATTTTTCCAAGAAAAAAGGGTGGGTTTTATACGCTCTACCAGCAAATGTAGAAGAGAATAAATCAATTTCTCAACTGCATAGCGTAAGGATGAAGAGATTCACTCACGGTTTCTTCTATAGGTACCGAAGTGTCCACCCGATGCTGATAATAGAGATCAATGTAATCGACATCAAGACGCTTCAAGCTTGCGTCACAGCACTACCGTACGTACTCGGGGCTACCTTTCACAGTCATGCCAGTAGATGTCATCCCCACTATACCGAACTTAGTCGCCAATTGAATTTTCTCCCTTGGTAATTGTTTTAAGGCCTGCAAGTTGAATACACTTTTCAGTTCACTGTATGTAAACTACAAATTCTTGATTATGTTATATCACATGCTATTAACAAGAAGACACAAAACATGCCAAATGCAAACCGTTCTATGTTACTTCGACTCGGGTGTGAGTGTCGGACATGGCTCTGTTTCTAATACGGATTTTTTTGGAGGATCCGCAGGATCTCATCCGAATTTGTCTGGATCATGGGATTCCGAAAAGATTACTTCAAGAAAAATAAAGAGTCCGAATAATATCGGAAAGGTTTTGAGTAACCTTATTACTATGTTGGTTGTTCATGCTCCACCTTGGTTGTTTAGATGACTGTACTGTAGCAGTATACTGCTCCTTTTGGGTAATAATATTCTTTTATTTATCCAAAAAAAAAAAAAAACTTCATCCTCGGAGAGAGGTGAGTTGTAGATTCCAGTTAAACCCATGCATCCGAAACCCAACTTCGAAACCTGCTTCAGGAAAAGCAGAAAACTGAGATGAACATGTTCCAGTTGATGTAAGAACAAATAAGTTCGAAAGTCAACATATTTTAGATATTTTCTTTGTCTTTTCCATCCACGAACTAATTCCGTACTCCCTCAAATTTTGAAGCTTTACACCCCCTAAATTGACACCCCATAAACCTTCATCCCTGCTCTTATCCCCGAACTGCAACTTCCATTATAAAAAAGGGGTTTTAGGGTAGTCGCCTTTTGATAAAGCTAACAGATTTGAAATATTATCCGTTGGATCAAAATCTGTAATTTCTCAAATGTGACACAAATCTCAAATATCCATTTCGGAGTTCTACTAATATTATGCTAGAAAGTTCAAAACTTTCGCAAGCATTACAATGGTATTTTTTTTTAATCAGAATCAATTTCGATCCACGGAGAACATATATAAGATTGGGTTTTCAGAGCAAGAATCCAACTAAACAGCAGCAAGATTTTCAGACAAAAACTGAAATTAGTGTCCACAAATGAGAATAAAAAAAGTTACCTCAAGTCCTTGGCTACCCAGTTTCAATCTGGGAATCTGTACCAAGTTTTCTAGTAAAGCCATGTCTGAATAATCTCTGCTCCAACTTCTGTTTTGTTTTTTTTTCTGGTTCCAAAGTGTTCCTAAATTGAGAATTTGGTTGGGAATGGAAGTAGTTGAGATGGCTGGTAGTTGGGAAAATGTTGATGGGTGAAATTAAATATAAAATGGCAATCTGAAGAAAAATACAAAATGAAAATAACAACAGAAGCAGAAAAAATGCAGTAGCCGGAAATCGAACCCGAGTCTGTACCGAGGCAAAGTACCATTCCCTAAATGTATATTATAATATAGTTTTCTATTATTAAAGAATCCTAATTATGTTTTTGAAAATGTAGGAAGACAATAAAATATAAGAAATATAGCTTCTATTTTCCTTTTATTTATATTTATTTCAAAATTAGTTTTATTATGTTTATGCCTCTTACGACATATTTAGTGATAACAAGAAAAATAATGTATAAGGGACTTGATTGAATGTTATTTTATTAGTTACAGTTTATAATTTAAAAGATTTGATTAAAAATTATTTTAATTAACAATTAATTTTATTAGAGGACCTTTTACAATTTGAATATTAAGTTTAATAGAGTACATAATTCATATATGCAACATGTCAAAGCAAGTTAAAATGAGAGGAAAAAAGAAAGCAGGTGGAAGATACCAATAAAAAATATTTCAAAACAATAAAGAGAGATTCTTTTCATTCACCAACTGTAAATATAATTATCTAGAGATCACGACCTGCAAAATTACTTTTGCTAGAACTCAAAATGTAATTGAGTTGCATAATTATCTTTAAAACGTTACATTTAATAACTCAAATGTAGAGCTTTGGCAAATTTTACAGTCCCAGTGAAAAAAGAGAGGTAAATTAACAATACAAGCTTCAAAGTCCTTGATGAAAGAACCCAGGCAAGTGCAAGTTGTGCAGGTTTACATCCGTGCTTCCCAGCCAACTTCTCGAACTCAAAATACAACCTCTAGTTCCTCTCCATGTTCTCACCTTGAAACCTTGGGAATAGTGGCTTTTCAAGTAGTTTTATATCAGAACATTTGTTTTCATATACAAAATCAACTTAAAAGATAAGTGATAGCTAGATTTCCCATTACCAGAATACTGCTTTCGGGTACACCTTCCAAGATCGCTGTGCCGCCGAAGAAACGCCGACCAGGTGGACTGTATGGAACAATCCCTATTCCAAGTTCCCTGCATGGCTTAACTCTCTTCTTTTAGTTTTGATTCATCTTTGAAGAATCATCTACCATGTTCGAACTCGAACAAAAAGAAAATGAAGAAGAAGCTTGCAAAAGGGGGATTATTTCTTCCTCGATTTCAAGAGCCCAGAGCGACCACTCCATCTGAACGGCGGTAATGGGATGCACGGCGTGCGCCCTCCTTATAGTGTCGGCACTAGCTTCCGATAAACCCACGTACTTTATTTTCCCCCTCCTCCACCAACTTCTTCAGTTCACCCATCTAAGTAGTACCATAATTTATTGCTTAATCTTTAGTTCAACAAACTGAATATCATTCCGAGTATGAAGTAATGAAAACTATGACTTCGTACATGCACGAGGATTATAAGCATTATTTGTTTAAATTTTTTAATTAATTATCACTAAGTATAAATCTTATAAAGTTAACTGCTCAAACTCCAATCGTTTAGAATGAACAAGTACTATTTCTTTTTAGGGTAAATTATATGATTAGTATCTAAATCATTACTTTTATTCCATTATAGCATCCAAACTTTATTTTTTCTTAAAATTATACCTAACGTTTAGTTTAGATTCTATTTTGATAATATACCGTTAAAAAATTATCAGAACTGTTGACGTATCATTTTTATTTTTTTTAATAGTAACATGACATTATCTTATAGTGACACGTGGACATCACCATTTAGTTTTTCTAATGACAAATATCGAAATGAAACTTAAACTAAACATTAAATATAATTTTTAAAAAATCATCGAAATCGGTGATTTCCTATCATAGGATTTATTATGTTAATAATCATAACATCACTTACGGTATGCTCTATCGGAGTGGCTGTGGACTCTGTGTTGATAATAGAGATCAATGTATTGGACATCGAGGCGCTTCAGGCTGCCCTCGACACAGCTGCGGACATATTCAGGCTTCCATTTAGAACTATGACACCGGCTGTATCCAGTTCTACGAAACCAAATTTTGTGGCTAATTGGACCTCCTCCCGAGGCAGCTGCTTCAACGCCAAAAAGAAACACACACAAAGATCCTTTGATTTTAAAACTCTCGTGTTATTTTTTCCCAAGACCACGACACTAAACATGTTACCTTCCCGACCAATATTTCATTGGTATGGGGACCATAGATATCCGAAGTATCGAAGAAAGTGATCCCTCTGTGAAACGCGTGTTTGATGATCGATATCCTGACATCGTCGGGGACAGGGTCGTTGTATCCTCCGGTAAGACCATAACAGCCGAACACCAACTTCGAGACCTACGACAAAATACGATTGGTTCAAGAGATTGGATGTTGAGTTATGGGTTATGATCGGTTGAAATATATGTTTTTGAAGAGAATAGCATCCGAATGATGAATGTATTACCTGAAGTCCTTGAGTTCCTAGTTTCACTCTAGGAATCTGAATACTCTGCTGCTGCTCGGACATTTTGTTTCTTTCTTTTCTCGCTAACTGAGGTTTGTATTGTTGGTGTTCCTCAATTGCCTTATCAACTTGGTATCTTCACTTAGTTAGACACACGTCATAACTCGGAAAAGATCACAACTTCCACTACAGCAAAATTGTTCTTTAGTAGCGTTTTTAGCGGCGTTTTTAGAGTAAACGCCACTAACTTTAAACATATAGCAGCGTTTACATTCCAAACACCACAAAATGGTAACTTTAGCGGCGTTTCTTTACAAATGCCGCAATAGGTTCATCTATAGTGGCGTTTTTTAAAAAAACGCCGCAACAGTGTGGTACTTTAGCGGCTTTTTTATATAAACGCCACAATAGGTCTATCTATAGTGGCGTTTTTTCAATAAATGCCGCAATAGATTAGTACTTTAGCGGCGTTTTTATACAAACGCTGCAATAGGGTTCACCGATAGTGGCGTTTTTTCAATAAACGCTGCAATAGATTATAACTTTGGCGGCGTTTTTATACAAACGCCGTAATAGTATTTACCTATAGTGGCGTTTTTTCAATAAACGCCGCAGTTGTTTGAATTTATACGAAATGCTATAATAATTAAAGGAAAATATTATTAAATTATGGATTAATAACAAAAATGACATGAATTGAATTAAAAGTTATTATAATAATATTTAAAAAATATTATAATAGTTATAAGTTAACGAACATTAAAATATATAACTTAACGTGATTAGTAACATAATCTCAATTGAATACTTTCTTAAAACTAAATTTTTAATTTATTGTAATGATAAAAAATATTAAAATATAAATATTATTAATACTTTTTAAATAAAAATAATTTATTTTTTAAATCACATTTAATTATCAAATTAAGAAATTAAAATGTTTTAAAATTTATTGAAAATTATATATTTTTAAAAACATCTAGGGTTTTAGATTCACATTTTCTTGTTAAAATCAAGCTTGTTTCTTTCTCGGCCATAAAGTCACTTCCATTTTCTTTTTGCTGTCTATTGTCTGTATGCTCTATAAATTTTTACTTATGAGCTCCTTAGATTCTCATCAAGCAACCGCTTTGAAATCCAAGGCTTCTCGGAGCCTAACCTCGAAATCGTCGGTTTCCAAAACCCCAGAAAAGCACTCCTCCCGGCTCCCCAATCGTGCTCGTAACCCTGCCATCTCCATTAAAGAGGTCCGGAAAGTGGCTCAGACTCGATCCAAAGCTTCTACAGTCCAGATCAAGTTGGCCCGAAAGCAGATCTTATCCTGGCCCACCGAATATCCTCCACCCAAGGCCTCCGGTGGCCGTCCCGATAAACTCCCTGAAAAGTAGGCCCGCTTAAGACCCTCACCCTGGTTTCTTTATTTAATAATGTTATTGATTAAAGGTTTTTGGAAAATGTACGAGATATTGTGTTAGTTTTACAATAGCTTAGATTCTGCAATCCGGATGCTAAGATCGAAGGGGTTAATGCCTACTTTTACAAATATCAGCCCCAAAATAGTGTTTAACTTATAGGTAATTTCACCTTAATCATCTCAGTTAGTGCTGGTTAATAGATTTATTAAGTTCTGTTTGGTTTGTTTATATTGAGTATTTTATTTTTTGGGTTTGATGTGGTTTTATAAGAGGTTTTTATACAGTCACTTAGCTCAATTGAAGCATATTTTACCTGAGGCGCTTGAGATAAAGAGAATTCTTGTGTTTGATGAAATGTCTAGTTGTATGAAACCGAATCTCCACGTAAGCATCATTCTTTAAGTATAAATTTGAATTTTGAAGTTCATAATTGTTCCAATGATGGTTTCCAAGCGGCTCTCAAGAGTTGGAAGAGATTCCTTCCTCTAAAACTTTTACTTCCCTGTAATTGTTTTGGAAACGCATGCATTGTAATTGCAGTCTATTTTTTAGTTTGCTCGTTTTATTTCTGAGCAAGAAACACTCTTCATTGTTTTTGTTAGAATTGGATGATTGTTTGTGTTCTCTCTTTAACATTTCTTTGTACAAATTATAAACTATGCATGTTAAAGTGATATTTGCTTTCCAAACAATTTGTTGATACAGGTACCACCTACTGGATTTTCGAGATCTGAACCTAACTTTTGCCTGCATGAAAATTGAGAAACAAAGACTCTGCTAGTTATATTGGTAAAAATGTCGTCAGTAAGCAAGGTTGATAGGAAAGCAGCTCTAGATATGGCATCCTGGTTTTTCAACGTTGTCACATCTGTGGGTATAATAATGGTCAATAAAGCCTTGATGGCTACCTATGGCTTCAGTTTTGGTATGTTTTGAGTGAGTATTTACATGCAAACATTGATTAACTTTGCTTTTGCACATAGTCTTGTTCATTGCGCTTGCATATAGATTTGGTATCTAATGGATCAATTACTTCTTTGCTCATTATGTTTCTATGTAGCCTTCTTGTTCTATGGTCCAACTCCATATGATCAACCTAAAGGAGAAAAACAGGGTAGCAAGACT